GCGCCTTCCTCTGCTCGCCACTCGGCGGGCTGATGGTAGCCCAGGCCGTGAGTACCGGGGAGAGGGCACCGGGAGGGGGGCTCGGCTTCTCGGCCTCACGTCCTTTGCCGGTCGTAACTCGGCTCGACGCCTGGCAGCTCCCAGCACCGGGCAGGGGCTGCCTCGCATGGGCACAAGCCAGAGGGTCTGGGGGCTGGATGAGCACGGTGACCACCGAGGTGTGTTGGGGTTGCCCGCGGGGCTCTTGTGCTCCCTGGGCGCTCCCGGGGTCCTCCCCAGCAGTCAGGCTTTGGCGGCCGCTCTCAGAGAAGCCCAAGGGTCTTTGTGCCGTCAAACCGAGCATCCCGTCTCCATGGCTTCAGCATCGGAGGGGACCGCAGAATAAACTCCTGCTGCTGCTCCCTCCTGGTGCCCGAGACCTTGGGTGCGATGTGTGCACGTAGAGGTGGGAGTTCAGCCATGGACGGGGCCGCGTGTGACCTGTCCCGGTGTTTGCCCACGGTGCTGCCCCGCTCCAATGGGAGCCTGTTGGCTCATCTCCTCTCCCTGGCACAGCACTGCGGGGGCAGCAGCAGAATGTGCTCCGAGCAGCCGCTGTGGAACAGCTGTTACGGATCTGGCTCCCTGCTCCAGATTTTGAGCCCTGGGCATGGCTGAGCCGGTTGTGACACAGGAACAAACGCTCAGGGAAGGATGTGGCCAGGGGGTGTCTTAGAGAAGCATCGGGAAAGAGGGATGGAACCAAGATCAGCAGAAGGGATCCTTCAACCCCACACCTGGACCCCCCTCTCCAGCCCATTGCTGGGGCCGTACCATTAAACACGTTCACCTGGCTCCCACAGAGATTTGCTGCTCCCCACACCTCTCTCCTATGGGCTTTTCTCCCCCCAGCAGCCAGAGCAGGGCAGCTCGCACATGCCGCCTCCCACTCCAAGAGCACAGAGACTTCTTCCTATACATACTTCTCCCCCATGCATATTTTGTGATCACGAGTGTTAGAAATCGCTGTGACAGACAAGGAGGCATTGTCGGGGCAGCCAGGCACCAGGGTGTTGTATTCGGGCAGGACAAAGGCTGTTGTGTTTCTTCCATGACAATAAGCAGTGCAGGCTGACGCAGGGGCAGAGAGGCTTTCCAAAGAGCCCTTCTCCTACCCACCAGTGGGACACAACTCTGCCGATTCCCTGCCAAAGCGGAGGTGAGCACAGGAGCCGGGTGATGCTGATGCCTTCACCTGACTCTGCTCAAAGAGATCCCAACCCCAGCCGGGAGCCAGAATAAATCATGGTTGTGTCTGGGGCATGTTCACACCCCAGCCTTGCTGTGGGTATCTCCCCAGGATGTTTGGTCATGCTGGGAAGCGCGAAGGGTGCAGGGCTGGAGCCTCCTTGCTCTCCAGGCTCCCTACTTTGCTCTGGTCCAGCTGGGAGGTGGTGGATAGTGAAACAGAGCCCACCAGCACCCTGCTGGAGCCCCGGCTCTGTGTCCCCATGCACAGGCTGTAGTTGAGGCTGCAGAACAAACAGGGCAATTCACAGAAAGTGCCATTTGCTTTGCTTTTCCAGGCCCCAGCACTATATATGTGCTGGTGTCTCATCCTCTGCTTGCCCCGTCATGGGTTGGGGACTTTCAAAATAAAAAACCACCCACAAACCTGCTGCTTCCAGAGAGTTCCCCAGAGAGGAGATGGGGGAGAAGGCGGCTGCTCCCTGGCCCCATCACTGTGAGTGAAGCAGGGCAGCATCTCCTCCAGAGTCCAAAGGTCAGGGGTGGACACAGCACAGGGAGGGGAAAGAAAAAAAAAAAAAAAGAATGAAATGCCACCTGTGCTGGGCTCTTCCCTCCTTGCCTGGCAGGGAGCCCAGCCTAATTACCTGCTGCCTGTTGCCCTGCGGGCTCTGCTGGGGGCTGCAGGGAGGGGAGGAAACAGCTCTGCCCTGGCTTTGCTTGTTTCTCCTTGAGCAGATCCAGAAAGAGACTCATGTACCGGGGTCTCTTTGTGGATCACTGCAGGCACACTGCGACCACTATGCAGTTAAGCCTGCTGAAGGGTGAAAGGTGAGCCTGTGAAGCTGTGTATACAGGAGGTATAAACCAGACCTAACCAAATAGTGGAGAGAAGCTAAGAAGCTGCACCTAGGGGAGATCAAGGCTGAGCCGGGGCCTCAGGAGCCCCCCCACATCCAGCTCTCATCCAGCCCATGAGATATCCCTACCTGTGTAGACTGGCCCTGGCCATGGTTGAGAAGGAACCTTTGGTGATGAGGATGCCCAGGTTTCCCCACCCTGCCTTGCAGGACATCCCTGTACCAGCTCCTGTAGCTGTACGGGGTGGACAAGCCCATCCCTGAGCAAGGAGGGTCCTGGGTATGCTCCCTGTCCTGGGCTCTTGCATGTCCCTGCTTTGCTGCAGCCAGGCAGACCCAACTGCTGTAGGTGCTGGTGAGTCCGGGCTTGTGGGCGATGCTCTGCTTTCCACCTGCAGGAACCACCACCCAAATGCTTTCTCCATTTCACCCCACAGGTGCTTGGCTTACTGGTGTGGGCTCTCATTGCCGACACAACGTACCACCTCCACGCAGCATACAGCTGGGTGATGTTTGTGTCCATCTTCCTCTGGATAGTAACAGTCCTTTTCTTCATGACTTACCTCCTGCAGCTTCAGCTAAAGTTCTATGTGGTCCCCTGGCCCCTCGTGGTACGTATCCGGGAGTGAGCAAGGGGGGGGTCCCAAGTGGGAAACGTCCTGTGGAGATGCTCAGGAACAGGGCTTCAGGCTCTTCTAGGCTGATGGAACAAAGTCCCCTGCACTTTGCACAATGACGTTCGTTCTGCCCCTCAGTTGCTTAGAAAATTTTCAGAACAGGGAGCCTCGTATCAATCCAGAAAGTTATAGCCACATGTCACTGGTGCAGTCATGGTGTCAGCCTGAACCCTCAGAGCAACCTGGGGTGCATTTAATGAGGTGTTCACCTGAGGGTGTGTTCCCAGCATGAGGGGATGGACCCTTTTCCTCTGGTTCTCCTGGGGAAGAGGGAGGAACATGAAACTGAGCTTTTTGCTCATCCCTCATCCCAGTGCGCACGACGTCTGAGCCCAGACCTCATGACCTCCTCTTTCTCTTTCCCAGCTGATGATCTTCAACGCTGCAGCGACCATCCTGTATGTCACTGCCTTCGTGACGTGTGCGGCCGCCGTGCAGCCTACGTCCTGGCGGCAGTGGGATTACAACCGCAGAGCCGCAGCGTCTGTAAGTAGCGGTGGGCAGGTGAGGGCTGAGGGCTGGGGCAGCTGCCGCGCTCACGCCCGGGGTGTGCTCCTCTTCCAGTTCTTTGCCTGCGTTACCATGATCGCCTACGGGGCGAGCACCTTCTTCAGCTTCCGCGCCTGGAAAGGGCTCGGCAGCAACGCGGCCACCAGCCAAGTGACTGACCACATGTAAGGAGCAGACGGCAGAGCCCAGCCACGGGCTACCCTGGGTCAGCTCATGCCAGGCTCCGTGGCTCAGAGCCTCGCGTGCCACCAGGTCTCGTTCTTGGACCAGCCTGTGCTGGCAGCCATGGTCAGTACCGGGTTGCATGGACACTGCTCTGTGGTCCCTGATGATGCTTCCAGCTGATGCACCCACAGCACAAACCCGCCAGCACCGTCACTGACCGGAGGACATGGACTCACTAAAGGCTGAAGCTCCTGCTTGTCCTTGGGGTTCATCCAGATCCTCACTGGAGCAGCTCTACTGAGAGTAGCTCTGCTACTAAAATCCACTAAACCAAGCCCAGGTTCCTGTCTCTGGTCATTCGCAGCTACAGTGTAAGTAATTGCAATTAATATGATACATAAACAGTGGTATAGCTGGAGGATGTAGGCTAAGCAAAGTAAAAAGGCTAAACCCTTCTTGTATTGATTTCTGAAAACATGAAGTACAAATTTTATGCTTCAAATAAAAATCTTCCTAAATTCAGCACCGCAGTCTGTCAATAAAAAATTTGTCTTGGTAGAAGGTTGTACATGGAGTGAAGAGCAGAGCTGGCACTGTCAGAGGCGGCTGCCCCTTCCCACTGCCTGTGGACACTACAGCCTGGCCCTGGGGTGGGGGGAGCAAGTGCCCAGGGCTCACCTGCCTTGGCTCTGCCCACACACACACACCCATCCATCCCTGAGCACACACAGAGCTGCACTCCAGACTGTGAGAACACCAACGCCCTGCCAAGGCTTTGACCCGGTCCCTCCCCCAGGCTCAGCACCAGACACACCGGCAAGGCCTGTTAGCTACAGGTGGTCTTCAAAAATCAAAACTCAGTCTGCAGATGCTCTGGGAACTCACAGAGGGGCAGCGCCTCAAGAGAACACAGAGCTGTGCTGCCCCCCCACAACGCAGGCGACAAATTCACCTTTGATTTCTTGGGGACACGGACTGGCATTTGTCAGAACTAGAAGCAAAACCCAGCCAGATACAGCAACTTTTCCCTCCACACCCTCCTTGCACAAGCTAATAAAAAGAGATGAAACACATTCAATTTATTTCTGGGTATTTCTGCAGAGGGAAGCTGGTGCACAGTGAGCCAAAATTTACTGCATGCTCTGCACGGGTAAAGTTTTAGCAGCTTGTCTACAGAGGCTCAGTAAATTTAATGGAAGGTTTGAATTGAAAAGAACTGGACTAACAGCCCCTGGCCAATTTGCCTTTATTTGGTTTTCAGTGAGGTCAAGTTTCCACAACTATGAATGTGTATCTAAAAATCAGTTAAAAAATTAGCTTCCTCATGCATTGTTATTGCAATGTTAGAACTCTTCAAACATGAAGTCAGACTTGCACACAGTTAGTCCATTATATAGAGAAATTTAACCTCTTTAAAAAGCCCCTCTGCCTGGTGCAAAATGCATCAAACCAGGGACAAGTGATAGGAGTGTCACAGAGGGATGAGTTGTTCTGGGAACAGCAGCCCCCAGAAAACACAGAAGAGAGTGGCACAGGGAAAAAAAGGTATTGCAGGAAACACCGAGATAAAATTCCCCATCAGAGCCACAATTCATGGCCAGCTGTGCCTTGATGGCTCTGAAAATCCAAGAGACCTTGCTTAAAATACAACAGAACTCCCTTCAGAAAATAACTGCCTGAGGTATTTATTTACACTGCCATTAGTGTAAGTAATTAATTGAAGCCATTGTAATAGGGAAAGAATGAAAACTTTTGTCAGTAAAAACAATGACAAGAATATTTTTAGCTTTAGTTGCAAGTAATTGTTTTAGCTCAACCATCAAATATTAAAATACGTCAACAGGATCCTTTTAAAATTTGATAAAATCTGTTCCTGATGTTAAAAAGTCAACATTATACAAAGAGGTAAGGACTTGACTGAAGAACTCCAGTACATACACTGACAGCAGAAAAACAACTAGATTTAAGCCTTGTATTTCTCTGATGTTAACCTCAGGATTTACATGGCAGGGGACCTGCATCTAGTTTGCATTAAAAACAAACCCCTATTTTTCATACTTTTTTTTTTTTTTTTTTTTTTTTTTTTTTTTTTTTTTTTCTGAGAATAAGCATCTCAGAGCACTGTCTCTGCTCACTACCTGCCCATGCATGCCTGAGCACTGACTTCTGTGCTCACGGGAACAGCTGGTTTTTACAGCATAAGTGGTAGACAGACCTGTAAAAACCTGTATCGTGGTGAGGCAACCCCAGCTGATGGAGCTTCACTGCTGCCAGCAGAATCAGGAACGTGCATTTCAAACCATGCTATTGCACCTTAGCAATTTCAGGGATGTACTCACACTGCCTTAGCAGGTTACCGTGGCTGAAAAGAGAATCAAACTGAGCTTGCGTTATCTTCACTGAAAATAAAAAGCCTACAAAACCACTTTTGATCAAAACAAATCCAGAGGGATTTCTAAAAAGTTGTGTTGGTTTGGGTTTTGTTTGGTTGGGGTTTTCTTTTGTTATTAAAGCTTTCAGGCTTTCATTATTCAAACTCAAGAAATATAAATTATTGAAGGAGGTAAAAAAAGTCTGAAGGGGTAGGCTTCTATTTTTCTGAAGGGTAGTGTGTGTGTCTATATCTGGTTGTGTATACTTATGAACATTTCAACATACCAGAAAAATTCCAGACAAAAAAATGCAGAGCAATAAGCACAACACAATAGAAACCTAATAAGATCCATTACTGCAGCACTCATAAACTTGGTATACAGAGCCAGAAGACTAGGACACTACACTTAGCATTGCTGGCCAGCCTTTGAAAAGCATTACGGTCTGTTCACAAACCCGTTTATCATATTTTGTAGTGCAAGTGTGGCTTATTTTTGCCTGCATGGCTGAGAGTCTTCATTAATATTCAAAAACTATTTCAGTTGAAGAACAAAATCCCAGTATTGTTGAAATTACTGTCAGATGTCAATATGAACAAGATTTCATCTCATTTGTTCTTGTAAGACTTTTCTTGTCCACAAACAAAAGTTTGTCACAGCCTGGCCATAATTTTGCTCTGTCTAGGCTCCAGGTTCTCATCAGGTGACAGCCCCTCAGCAACCTTCAGTGCTGCTGAGGGGCATCTCCCCTGCTGCATCAACCTGCTGTGGGACAGGGCGGAGGGTTCTGCTCACCACCCTGTGTTTCTGACTACTCTTAGGCTTTTAAAGATGCACTCACATTGCCTGAGCACACCATTAAGCAGCAGATGAACATGCCTGAACAGTGTAATAACAGGGGGTCCCTACAGCTCCACATGCAGTTTAATTCCAACCACCACCAGAGGTGCACCTGGGGTTTTGCAGCAGGCTAATGGCTGCAATTCCACCAGCAAGCCCCTCACCTATTCTTCAACAGATGCTGAAAAATGCCTTGCTGCACTGATGTTGCTAGCAGTTTAACAGTAAACACACGCCTTTCCATTAGCATGTTATTTAGAGCAGTAAATGACATGGTGGTAAACATGTCTGTACCCAACTAGCTTGTGTTACAAGAACTAATGCAGCTGTGCCACTGACAAAATAGAAAGAAATTGCATACACAGGCCAGATTTTGGTTTATTGTGGTTATTTTTCCCAGTGTAGCTGGGGCTTAAACAAAAGTGGAGAACTTTGCATAAGAAGGATGAGAATTATAAAAGCCAGGTAACAATCAGACTTACACAAAACCAAATCAACTGTCAGAGATAAGAGACAGTCTTATGCTAGAACATCTGTGAGAGCCGAGAAACCAAGCCTGTGAGAAACTAAGACCAACAGCCTGGGAAAGCAAAAGTTGAGGCTGATTGAAGAAATGCCTCAAACACTCGCAAGACAAAACTCTGAGTCCCAGGGTGCATGCTGTGGAGGCCGAAGCTGATAACGGTGCCCCATGCAGCTGGGGGAGAGAGCCCTGTGGAGATGGGACGGCTCTGACCTGGGGCACCTGGGCAAATTTCAAGGGCCATGTGTCCGGTGAATGACCTTGGCTTCATTATCCACGAAATGCATATTAAAGTTGACACCCCTCAATATGTTAATGAGGGCTGGCATGATCATGCTAATTACATCATCCCATGAAACACCTTACCCCTCCCCGTACATGGGATACGTAGGTCTGTGCGTTGACCTAGGGGACGGACCCAAGGAAAGTGGGTACAAAGGGGAGAAGAAAGGGCTCTCGCTCTCTCTCTGACACACCCCCCCCGCCCCCCCAGCCATCTGGAGAGAGCAGTGAAGCAAAGAAGACGGATGCCAACAAAAAAGACAGCTGCCTCCTGGAACCCTCGCCGGCGGGATCAGCGCAGGTACCCAGACTGGTGATCTGTATTCCCCCATTCCCTCTATCTCCCTCTTTTCCTTTTTCTATTAAGAAATGAAAAGCATATTGTATTGCTCGCCACAGCTTGCTCTGTACTTAGCCAATTATCATGTGTTCAATTAGTACATTGTAGGTAGTTAATAAATGCTTGAACTTGGAGACTTGTCCGCTCCAACTGGGGATCTGCGAATCCGAGTCACTTGTCCCCCTCGTCGGAGCGGGACGTGACATTAAATTGGCATAGTCGGCAGGATCCCCTTCGGTGTCGGAAAGTCTGGTGAAATAGTGGTTCTCTATCCGATAAACTCGGACAGGGAGAACTGGGAATTGGCCCCTCAGCTCTAAGCTGAGAGAGGGTCGGAGGCTTGAACTTGGAGACTTGTTGTCCGCTCCAATTGGGGATTTGAGGGATCCCCTTCGGTGTCAGAAAGTCTGGTAAAATAGTGATTCTCTATCCGACAGACTTGGACAGGAAGAACTGGGAATTGGCCCCTCAGCTGTAAGCTGGGAGAGGGTCGGAGGGATACTGATTCTCTATCTGATAAGGATAGGGAGAATCGGGAAGTGACCTCTCGGCTCTAAGCCAGGAGAAGTTCGAGCAGTTGCAAGCCATGACTGGCCAGATAACGTCAGTGCTTGACTGCTCCCCTATTTTTGAGAAGCTGAAGGAGTATAAGGCTTGTCCTCCCCCTTTAGTAGAGGTTTGGGCCCACGATAATTGGCAAAATCCAGAAGCAATGGCGAGTTATATCAGTGTGCTTGCAGGGGTGAAAGGGTCACAGCCAGGCAAAGGAAAAGCTGTAGTGTGTGCTGTATTAGGGGCAGCACTGACTGCAGCCCAGAAAGATAAACATGTTAAGAAACAATTGGAAAGGGAAATGATCGAATCCCTAAAAGATCTGGTAAAAGCTCTCCAGGATCAATTGGTTGAGGAACGTAAAGTTACTGAACAAAAAGCTAAACTCTGGCAAGAGCAAATTGAAGTTTTGAAAAGCCAATTAGCTGATGAGTGTAACACCACTCAGCGACTTTGCACAGTTCTATTAGATGCCTTGGACCGAGAAAAAATCTCACAGTCTGAAAAGGAGGGGGCAAATTTAAGACCATTAATTAAAACGGAGACCACCGAGGGTCAGGGTGGAAGAGCTCTGCAGGTCACCACTCGAACTACACCGTACCCAGCAACTGAGCTTGCAAAAATTCAGGAGAAATACACCAGACTGAAACTGAATATGTGTGGAGGGTATCTTTGACTGGTGGCGACCGAATTTTGTTATCAGAAGATGAGGCCCAGGGTTACTGGGGGCCAGGGGTTTTCTTAGCTACTGACGACCAGAGAGAGCCGTGATTGTTAACTCAACAAGCTGCTTATCGGGCTGGGAGTCTGGACCCCTTGGAAAGGAGGGATCCAGTATGTATTGAGACCCCAACCATAAATCATTTGACTGAAAGTCTGCAGAAGGCTGCTTGTCTCCAATTAATGCATGACAGGCAGTTGGTTCCGCAGCAGCCTGCCCCGATGTTATTAATTGCTAACCCTGATCAAATGACTCCCCTGATTCGGGGCTTGCCAGACTCTTTGAAATCACATGCAGTACAATTATAAAATCGTTTGCGGATTGCATTAACCCCACGGAGGGGGAGACGGGGAGTGGGAGAGCCCATGACTTGGGGAGAGATAGCTCAGGACTTAATAAACTATGGCCGGAGAATGGGCCTTACCAGGGGAACGGGTAAACCTAAGCCCTCCTTACACAGAATGGAAAAGCAGGAAAATCTGTTTCCTTCCCCTCCACAAGTTTTAAGAGCAAAGAGAAACCTCTTGTGGACTGAGGGAACGAGACAGGGGATTCCCCAAGAGTTAATGGATGGTCTGACTACTGGTTTTAGAAAAGCTCATTCGAGCCTGGAAAGGCAGAAGGAGGCTGCGCCCCCCCCTTCTGAGCAGACCTTTCGGACGAAGGGAGGGACAAAACTAACGAGATGGTGGTAATTGCTTCTCAAAGAATACCGTATCAATACCAGGGGAATTGTCCCTTCTTTCTAACCATCATTGTTTTGTTATGCATATATTTGTTTTACAGGATATTGATCCTGGATGACCAAAGACCTATATTACTTTTAGTGCTTTCAATAGTTATAGGCATTATCAGCTAGTTATTATTTGTAATCTGCTTACATTGTTATATAATTTGTGGAATCATACCTGCTAAGTGTGAAGAATCTACTTATTGGAAGGCTAATCTGGAGTTGTGCCTTAAGTTACCTTATTGGGAATCACCTCCAAAATTAAGGAAGCCTGTGAGTCACCTGTGACTGCACACTGGTGCTTGCAAATATCATATAACTGTATGTGATCCTTACAACACCACATCCACCAACAGCAAGATGAAGTAATCAAAGACTAGCTGGAGGAGTCTGGTCCCACAAATTAAGCATTAACAAATTGTACCTGAATATTAAATTGTATTCCCATTTAAATCCTTATTGACCTTCTAATGTGATTGTGTAACCTCAAATAGTTTTAGAAAATTTAACTTAGCATTTATATGTACTAACAAGGGATGTCTTTAAGGAATTAAAGGTGCAGATCCACCAAGCATCTAGGATGGCGTTGCAGAATCCAGCTAGCATTGCTGAAGGAACATGGACTGTGCGGTGTGCCGAGTCTGACTGAGGGAGAATGCTGCATCCCCATCCACAATGCACCTCTGCCATCACCTCTACAGAGGAGACCCATGCCACAATGAAGAAGATTGCCAAGAGGAACAGAGAACTTTTTCGACCGATGAACTAGTTTGATGGATGGAACCCTGGGTCATGGGTAACATCACCGGGATCCTCAGGACTCACGGGGTGGGGAAGATGGCTTGCAAATATTAGTATTGTAATATTGTGCAAAGTTTTGCTTTTCATATTATGACTTGCAGCAGTTAGATATATGCTCTCTAACCTTCTGTCTTCTTTTTTTCCTATACCCTTTGAGATCACAATGGTCAAAAACTTAGCGTGTTTGAGTCACGAGGTGGGATGTGAGCGCCGAGAAACCAGGCCTGTGAGAAACTAAGACCAACAGCCTGGGAAAGCAAAAGTTGAGGCTGATTGAAGAAATGCCTCAAACACTCGCAAGACAAAACTCTGAGTCCCAGGGTGCATGCTGTGGAGGCCGAAGCTGATAACGCTGCCCCATGCAGCTGGGGGAGAGAGCCCTGTGGAGATGGGACGGCTCTGACCTGGGACACCTGGGCAAATTTCAAGGGCCATGTGTCTGGTGAATGACCTTGGCTTCATTATCCACGAAATGCATATTAAAGTTGACACCCCTCAATATGCTAACAAGGGCTGGCATGATCATGCTAATTACATCATCCCATGAAACACCTTACCCCTCCCCGTACATGGGATACGTAGGTCTGTGCGTTGACCTAGGGGACGGACCCAAGGAAAGTGGGTACAAAGGGGAGAAGAAAGGGCTCTCGCTCTCTCTCTGACACACCCCCCCCGCCCCCCCAGCCATCTGGAGAGAGCAGTGAAGCAAAGAAGACGGATGCCAACAAAAAAGACAGCTGCCTCCTGGAACCCTCGCCGGCGGGATCAGCGCAGGTACCCAGACTGGTGATCTGTATTCCCCCATTCCCTCTATCTCCCTCTTTTCCTTTTTCTATTAAGAAATGCAAAGCATATTGTATTGCTCGCCACAACTTGCTCTGTACTTAGCCAATTATCATGTGTTCAATTAGTACATTGTAGGTAGTTAATAAATGCTTGAACTTGGAGACTTGTTGTCCGCTCCAACTGGGGATCTGTGAATCTGAGTCACTTGTCCCCCTTGTCGGAGCGGGACGTGACAACATCTAAATATTAAAACATATTCTTCCATTAGAAAGCTGTAGCAATTAAGATCTTATTAAAATATTTTTAAAAACCCCAAAACAACAAAACATTGACAGGGAAGAAGTCAGAGGTTATGTATCCAAGAGCTGCAGGGACATACTCATTTTATGCTGCCATCTTGATTCTGAAAAGTGCTACATTTTGGGGTGATGGTGAAGATGCCACCCAAATAACACACACAGAGGCCTATTTATTGTCCGCTCAGTGTGCTCGGCCTCTCAGAACATGCAACAGTTAGGCTGGTGTACAAACACTGTATTTATTAACAACAATTACTCTGGTAGAGATGAAACTGTCTTCCCCCTGTGGTCACTGAACGCCAACCAGAATTCACAAACAGATAATTTTAGGGTCAGGCCTCTGAAGGTAAGAGTCTGGAGGGTGAACGAGTTTTCATCATGCAAAAAGCACCTTGATTACCATGCCCCTCAGTGTTTTAATGTACAGTGCAGCAGCACTCATCTGGAGAAGTAGTGCATAAATTCTTCTAGGAGGATTCTGATGACTTATTTAATGAAGTCACAACTAACCCACTGCTTAAATCCAGACTTCGACCTTCTTTTTCCTAGAGACATGGAAGAAAAAGAAATCTGTGACTCAATGCTGTTTTGGAATAAGCAACTCGGAAAATGAAACAGGCAACACATATTCCGTTTGTTGCATCAAATCAATATAAAGTTACATGTTACCTGAGCATCTACAACTGAATGCAAACCCAAATGTCAAGAAGAGACTGTGCAGGAAGCCCTGCAGTAAGATTGCTGTCGCTCTGCCAGAGGCATGTCCAGGGCAGGGCAGAGCCTTGCTTACATCTGGTGAAGAACGCCCAGGCAGCAGGCTCAGCCCGTGCCCAGGCACTAGTGAAACCCAGCTTCTGCAGGCTGCTTCTCAGGAGAGCCCCAGGGGCAACCTCCAACTGAAACTACTCCTGCTGCTGAGACACGGGCTGTCTCTTTCTCCTCAGCCTGTCCCCATTTTCACAAAACTTAAAGGGGTGGGGGGAGGCGGCAGAGGGCACAACTCTGATAACAACTTTGACTCTTTTGCTCCTTTGTCAAATGGGACTGGACAGACACTGGACAGTATTTACATATATTTCATTTACTTAGGAAAAAGCTCATCCAAAAATGTTTGTTTCTCTAGCCTGGACAGAGAAATACAAATGCAGTAAGTTTAAATAAACCTAATTTTGTACTGGATAAAAAAAAAAAAACCAAACCCAAAGGTCAAGGTAGGAAGGGACCTCTGGAGGTCAGCTGGTCCAAAACATGTCCAGATGGCTTCTGAGTATCTCCACAGACAGAGACTTCACAACATCTCTGGGCAACCTGTGCCAGTGCTTGGTCACCCACACAACAAAAAAGTGCTTCCTTATGTTCAGTTGGAAATCAACATCCAAAGATGCAGAAAGCATGTGTTCCTGAAGAACATGCCAGCTTCATTCATGTTTTCTAGAAATTACTAAATGTGCATTTTGAGTTTAAATAACCACTCAGTCAAGTTATTTTCCTTTTGAAGTTATTTTTCCTTTTGACCCTGGTACAGCCTTTGAATAAATACTGCTACCTCCAGCAGTAACATTAACTTTGATACTCTCAGGCAGAGCTACACAAACCCAACAGCCATTATGCCAATGAAAATCAACAATCTGACATACTTACAGCTTTGTAATCCAAGAACATTTCTTTGAAAGCCAGAAAGTCAGTAAATGTGAGAAACATATCAAATATATCACCTGTCATTTCATCTTTGTGCTGTCTATAGAGAGAAGTTGGGGAATTAGAAAACTGTGTGGGAAATAAATTCATTATTTTAAAATGGTATGAGATCAAAAAGGACACCAGGACAAGTAGAACAATATCAGAATTTAAACAAGAATGTTATTACAGGTCTATCATAAAGCAAAACTTTAGCTAAATATTACATTTCAATATTTCTAATCCAAATACATTAATATATTTCTCTAAATCCAAGAGCTAATATTATCACATCTGTCCTTGAAAATTGGAGAAACTGACCTGTAAGTTCACAGAAGTAACACTCAACTAGCATTTATCTATTTATTTATCGTGAACACTGAAACAGCCAGACAGTCCCTTGGAAGGTGAGATAAGTTGGGGAGAAGCACTGAATGCTCATACACATCCCTTGAGAGTGAGGGACTGTACTGATTAAAACACTTTGGAAGAAAGACTGTGCTCCGATATCAGCATATTTCAACAAGACTTCAACAGTCAAGAGTTGGGGTTTTCTTTGGTTTGTTTTACCAAAAGGAGTTTTCCTTAAACAGTCTATCTTCTAAGCATGGTACATGATTCATAGTAATTTCCCAATGTCTTATTAAAAAAAAAAAAGAAATTGACTAAAATATTCTAAGATTCGGTTCCCAATTACACTTGATGTTCTTATTCAAGGGGAAAACCAGTGATCTTTCAAAAGGAATATCTTTAAGAAGTTGGTTAAGCTCAAGTGACCAAATGCTGAAGCTTAAGACAAACCAAATTCTTCTCTGGATGCTTTGTACAAGAATTGCAATAAAGGCACTTCATGACGACTCTTGAAAGGCTACCAGGCTATTTCAGTGTCCAACACAAAGCGTAAAAGAGGATAAATGTGACATAACCTTATAAGGGTCTAGTGTCAAAGTGACGGTGATTATGAAAACGCTCTAGTGGTCTCATCCCTTCCCATCCCTTAAAATCCAATCTATTTCAGCATGACAGTTCAAAAATAGAGTTAGCAGGACATGATGATGGCAAGAAAAGCAGTCAGTCATTGGGTGCATGGACACCTTTTCCTTTTCTTTTTAATTAAAGAGGAACGTCTTTCTAAAGGAGAAACTGTCAAACCTAAGCTTTAACCTAGATAAAAAGAATTAACTGAGAGGCACATAAGCCACCCCTCAGCCAAAAGCAAAGCAGAGACTTACTGTAATGACATTGTGAAAGCAGACATATTAAAACCAGGAATCCGATCCAGCAATTTTTCTTCAATATATTTCTCTACTAAAGAGATCTGAAAAAAATCCAAACAAACCACCCCTGTAACATTGTAACAAATTCCAGAGGCAGATTTCAATACAGCACATCTTCCTCACACTGACACCATACTGACACGTTGTATTGTCCTCACTGGCAAAACTACTGCAGACTCCTTAGCTGGGCGTTCAATTATTCACACCACTGCTGAGGCACAGAGCTGAACATTTTTTCTGGGAATATTGGTGAGAACAAACAGACTATTTGTATCTAGTAAAAAATTATTTTTCACTCATTTAATGGTACTGACTAATAGGTATAGTTTCATAATTATGCTTTGCATGAAGAATGTATTTGAAGTATCTAATGAAACAATACAACTGGAAAAGAACAAACTTCATTATGCACACACATTAAACACATTACTTAATACAGCAATAGGCTGAATTTTTATACAAGAGAGGTATGCAACTTCCAAGTCATCTATAGAAATTTTCAGGTGAGACAAAGAAAGGAACGTAGAGCTCCAGAAAACATCTTTCTTGCTCACAGATCATGACTGCTTCATAAAGGGACAGCAAGTCCCTTTATGAGTAGTATGTTTACATGAGTGGTATGTTTATGAATAGTAAGTTTACACGTAGTATGTTGGCTCTAATCCACATAAACCCAGTATTTTATAAAGGGGGGAGTACAGGACCTGAAACAGGCCTTAATAAAAATAAAAAAGCAATACACACAAAAAATAGGAAAAAAAATCTTACATATTCATTAAAAATAGAAGTATAGACAAGCTTGTTTTCTTCTGAGTCATCAAACTCCTGGTAGTGCTTCTCCATAAAAGTCCTCTGTATTAACTGGAAATCATCATCTGGACACAACAAAAACGCATCATACAGTTACGAGTTTAGTCATTCTTCTTGTAACACAAAACCCACATTCACTAGTCCTCTGCTCCCTGCTTGTAACCACAGAGCCCTGTACACGTGCAGCGTCAGTCAGACCAGTACTGCAGCTGCTGCTGAGTTATGAAGACAGAGGCTGCTGGTAGAGGGCAGCTACTTCAGTTAGGGGAGGTGAATGAACAGTGCAGCAGCACATCAGTCTGCTTTTGGCAGCAGCTGTGTATTCAGCATGGAATGGGGTGAACACATCTACCTATCAAGGTCTGCAATTACTTCTTGCAAGTTTTGTTTACATTTAGTAATAGCAAAGAAGTTCTCCTGCTTTATGTTTTATTAATGTTATTTATTCTGAACCCCTTTTTGTTCAGGCTCTTGAGTCAGCAAAACAACTGTATTTTTTTATAAAGTGAATACCTCTTCCCTACAAGAATTCAAAACACTTTTTTCCCCTTGAATTAAAAAATATTAATGAAATTCCCATATTCATTTTCAATTGCTGAATTTTCTTCCAGTTGTGTACGGAAATAAGAATAAAAATGACCATGGTAGGTCACCATCAAATTCAACAGAACGGGTGTGAACTTTACTTATACACAGTGTTAAAATGCATCAGTCTCAGCTTTCTAAACCCTACCACATTCAAAATTGGCTTTGTTACCACTTGTCCAGATTGAACTACATCACCAGGCAACAGGCTGCAGAATCTACATCTCTCTGGGAAGGATGTGGTCACCTCCCCTGTGAGGACAGGCTGGGAGAGTTGGGGGGGGTTCATCCTGGAGAAGAGAAGGCTCCAAGGAGACCTTAGAGTGGCCTCCCAGTACAGAAAGGGGCTACAGGAAAGCTGCAGAGGGACTCCATCAGGGATAGGGTGAAGAGTAACGGCTTTAAACTGGAAGAGGGAAGATTTAGATTAGATATAAAGAAGAAATTCTTCCCAGTGAGGGTGGTGAGACACTGGCACAGGTTTCTCAGAGAAGCTGTGGCTGCCCCCTCCCTGGAAGGGTTCAAGGCCGGGTTGGACAGGGCTTTGGGCAACCTGGGCTGGTGGAAGGTGTCTCTGCCTGTGGCAGGGGGGTTGGGACTGGATGATCTTTAAGGTCCCTTCCAACCCAAACCAGTCTGTGATTCTATGATGAAAAGATTCTATGCTGTTCATATGAAGCAGCTGATGGCTTATGATGAATGCAGTCTTGGCACCTTGTAAACTACCTCCCTACACTGACTTCTCAGTTACAATTATGGTTCTGAGAATTCAGCACCTTTTACTGCCTAAGATCGCACAATGAGACTGGCTCCATTCAACATTCCTGCCATGAACAGGTCCTGTCACATTACACTTGTACACATACATGCAAGTTACATGCAACAAAATCCACTCAAGATACTCTCAAAAAGTGCAAAGTGGCAAGCCGTGATGACATCTCCAGTCATGTCCAGACATCTCCAATGCTGCCGCAGAAACAGGAGAAATAAACTGTTCTCCGTGTTCAGCTGAGACAGGATAAGGAACAACACACTTACAGTGCAGCATGGGCACTTTATACTACAGATTACAAAAGGCTGCCTGCAGCAGCAGCAGCCAGGCACTACAGTAAATTGCCTGAACAAACCATGGCAGCTTCTGGGAGAAGTTAGGAGAGGTTTAGGTGTGGCTGGGGAAAGGAGGGCTACCTCTCACAGTCTCTTCCATAAAAATCCCAGAGAGCTTTGACTTCTATGTGAGATTTACAAGTATCTTTACTCTTTATTTGAGCAACAGTGTATTGCAGTGGTGCAGAGAATAATTTTCTAGACTCATAAGCACACTGCTGTGCAAACAGCTCACAAAAGACTTCTGTGTACATTTTTATTATGTTACCAGGTTAGGGGTCATGGGAACAAAGGAAGAAAAGCTTCCATAAAGCAGGCAAGGGTTATTTGAGCTCTGTATGTCTGCTAACAGAAAAGCAGTGTGTAGTATGTGTAGCACCCATTTTGTTATCTATAACTACTTGCAGAGCTTACTCATGATGATATCCTCCAGATACCCAACAACTGTATCAAACTCTGCATCAGAAGGGGAGGAGCTGAAAGCAAAGACAGACAGTACAGCATAAATATACATTTCGATCACAGCAGAAATAAAAGTTAAAATTAAAAAGTGTTAACAAAAGTCTAAGCACAAATAAACCCAGTAATTACAAGATAAGTGAATAATTTCCTATTTTCAACCTACAAAATAATCCATGACAGTGATAAGACTGCTTCATGGGGTTTCTCATCAGGCCTCGAGCGTATTTCCCCCCAGTAAGGTGCCTAACTGAAAAAAAAAAAATGCTGTTTTACAGGCATTACTGTGAAGGTAATTCCAGTCCTGGTGCAGAAGGATGTAAAGGGTGTAATTAGAACATCAAATTAAGCATTTTCCAATCCAGAAATCCCAGCTGCTACCACAAGCTTTCCTTCTGCTCTCTTCTTTTGTGTCTACATGGTGATTGCAGAACTCTAGACACTGGAGAATACTTTGAAACACCTGGTCTTTACATAATATTACATAACTGAAGAAACTTAAATATTTTTCTTTGCAAGAAACATCCCTGCATGCTACACGTGGCATAATCTCCTAAAGACATTTCATCATGAGCAAATACTAAACGCTATTACGGATCTGTAGTCATCCAAGGAGGAAACCTTTGGTACCAGCATTTCAGGGTTCTGGATCCCTTGCTAAATCAATCATTGTGCAGCTTGTTCAGAGACCTTAAATAATCCACAGGATCTCCTTGGCCTTGGCATTCAGGGTTCATCTTTAGTGGGGGTGATGAAGACTTCCTGTATCCTCCGAAAGATGAAAGACAGACTTTTCTCTCACATAAGGGAAACAAGCATCATAGGACATTTGTCTTCAAGAATAAGTTAGCTTTGATTAGTAAAAGCACCATTTAAAATAAGTTAAAATTGAATGTGTCTCTACTTTTCTTTCAAATTTCTCTCTAGTAACCAGAGCAGAACACTCTTTCAGACTAAGTTTTAAAAAACTCATTAAAGTTATTTTGCTACTGAATAATAGTCCAGTGAAAATAATCCATCAACAGTTTAACTAGAATGAGCCACAGGGCTTGTTCTGTCTAGGAAAAACGAAAATATATTCGATTTAAAAGGCATTCGATCACCAAGTGATGTCCTAGCAACATTTCTGATCTGTTAAGCCTGGAAGATGAGGAAAGCCAAGGCAAGGGACGGGAAAAGCATACTCTTCCACCAGAGGGCACAACACCACCAGGCCAGGAGCCTGCCCTTATATATCCCGAGCACCACGCTTCGGACCTCAGGCATGCAAAGACAAGAGATTTTAATATGGGTAATTCCCACTCTTCTTTTTCCTCCTCCAAAACAGTGCTACTGTTGGTTTTATAGCTTGCTCTAACAGCAACATAAAATTTAAAGTATTAATTTAAACTGCAGTTTAAGCTTGGCAGACAAATAATCGAATTTTAACTGTTCCAAAATAGCAGTGATTCCATCTCTCTCTGTCCAACACACCTGAAGAAACACACACTCGCAAATCCAGTGGTTTAAGCTTTTGTCACCTCATCATGTCTAGTCTCGGCCAGCACAACCTGTGCTGCTGAAGAAGTCCAGGCACATGGCCATTTGTTAAAGAACTAGAGCAACAGAGGCACAGGCACATGTCTCCTGCCAACTATGCCAGACAAATGTTGAGTAAAGTAGTGTTTCAGCCTCTAGGGGTGTAAAATCTGGTTGAGGCTATCTGTAAAGGTCTCACATGTCTAGAATGAGCACATTCAAACACAGAGGAATAATCTCTTCTTAGAATTTGCGATTTAAGAAAACATATGCTCTTGAAAAGAATACATTTTTAATATAAAATGAACACACACGGAGAAAAATTTTCCACCTTACAGTGCTTATTTCGATCACTCAGCCAGGGCTACCTGGTGCTATGTTCACTGCAGTAATATTTAGTTTCATTTCACCTTTCTCGTGAAGCTTTGCATTCTGTACCCTTGTTCTCTTAAGAGGCAGAATCTGCTGATCAGTGTAGTCTAAATTCATTTATGTAATTGTATTCCTATCAAAATATTTTAACTAATAGCTTACTGAAAATCTGACACAGAACACAGCATACTCACACGGCTACACCGAAATTTTCTTCATCAGAAGTCTCCATTCTTACTGCATAACCAGACTGGAGGACAGGCAATCTGCTGTATCACTGCTGTTAGGGGTTATTTTTTCTTTTCAGACAAAGCACTGAGAATAACATGTGACTTGGCATTAATACAAATTCAATTATTAAATTGCCATGCAATTCTCAAATCGGAGGAGAATCTTAATTTTTAAACAAAGGAATTTCAAAATCACGCTCTCCCAAAGTTGCTGCTACTTCTTTTCCCTAATAACTCAAATTCTCTGGGAACTTTCTCCACCTATGCAGACAACAGGCTCAAAACTGCACACACCTGCAGTTAGTCTCTGTAAAGGAGTTTTAGGTGACCTGTATATCTTTTCTCCTGAAGCATCCATGACTATGATAAAGATAAAAGAAAATGAAGCCAGGTAAGATGAAAAAGTCCCAGAGAGCTTGCAGGCTAGGCTTTGGATAGTGATCCCACGCATCAGGCTAGGGGCTCTGGCCAGTGCTGGGCTGGGTCCTGGCCAGGCCCTTGGCTGGGAGCAGCTGCTGACCCATCACACCGGAGAGGGCACACAGCACCCCACGGCCACTGAAGGCGGGCCAGCTGGCTTCTGGGTCCGTGCTGGGGACACCCTGCTCCCGCCACCCTTGCTGGGTTACACCCCACGCCGGCCTTCAGAGCAGCTGCCGAGGGTGGGAGCCAGCTCTGTGGCATCACCTCATAACCCAGGCAGAGGGATTAGCGTGACCCTCACCTTCCCCTTCTCAGTCCTGGCTCACGGGGAGAGCGAAGCCCCCAGCCCTGTCCCTCCCCAGGGGGACGCAGGCACGCGGCCCGCCTCACCTCCCCGTCCTCAAAGGGACCCGCGCCACCATCTTCCCGCTCCAGAGGCACCCAGGCGACCCGCCCCTCTCCGCCCTCCTTTCCCGAGGAACACAGGCGTCGGGCCCGTGTCACCTACCCCCCGCCTCGGAGGGGGTCCCGGGGTCCCGGCTCTGCCCCCGCGACCCTTCCCCTCGGCCCGGCCGTCTCCTGGGAGACGCTTCCTTCCGCCCCGCCCGCAGCCAATAGGAGAGCGGACCGGCCACGGTGGGCCCGCC